AAATTAGATCTTTTGAAAAGCCTGACAGGCTCACACTGAGTCTGGGAAAACACACACTGACAGTCCACGTCTAGCTTGTCCAGAATATCCCTGTTGTGACTAGGACAGTAAAACAAAGGCAGTCCAATCTTTAATTAGGGTAACTTAATAAACCCCAAATTGATCATGCTCCACCGTCTGGAACAGGAGTGTTGGCAAGCAAAAGTCAGGATAGACTTAAATTTCTGTCAAATCAGTGTCGAAATCTGCCCCATTCAGCACTAAAGATGAGACTCGGATTTCAACACTAAAGTCAATTCAGCCATCCTATATATGAATTAGAGACTTGGGGCATCACGAAACACACTTCCAACAGGCTTTAGACTTTCATCAACAGTGGCTCTCGTTCTACATTTAAAGTCAGATGGCCATCCAGAAATGATAAGCAACAGGGAACTCTGAAGATGAACTGAAAACCACGACCTATCTCCCAATAAATATTCTTAGGAAACTGGAGACGCATGGGGCACACTCTGAGAAGACTGTTGACGGACATTATGCACCAGGTGAACCTTCGAGTTTAACCCGAATGGGAAACAACATTCAAGGGTGATATAGAGGGGGTTGTGAGAGGAGGAGATGGGAGCTCATGAACGATCGTGGAGTCACCTGAGGAAGACTGGAGAGAACTTTATGAAATGGAGATGAACAGCTGAAACTGTATGTTCCACTCGTCACCTGAAGTAATAACAGTGAATACAATGTGATGAGTGATAACGGGATTATTTGGAAGATAATACGGTGAGAACATCACCCAACAGAATACTGAGAATACCATGATTATATCTATGAAGTCAGTTCCTACTGTTGATATATTTGGTGTATTAGGACTTTGTTTTACAGCGTATCATCTATGTGCATCACTCAGTGTCTGAGATGCTTTCGCTACGTACGTACGGTAAAAACATTCAATTTCCATTAACGTGATACCCTGTGTAAGGACGGTTTACAAATTGACCTTTGGGGAATCAAACTCTTCCAATGAAGGTGGAAGTAATCAATAATTTCTGAGTTACCACTGTGTAGAATTTGAAGCCCTGTGAGCTGAATAATAACAGCGTCAGTTATTACCAGTAATGTGTCTACAACTTCTGAAATAAGAATTTATCACTACTCATTCAGACTACTTGTGAGTAGTGTGAGACTGGAACTACTAATTCACTTTCCAGATCAAACAATATTAACCTTCAAAAGCTACAATGTGTTCAGCGTGACAGGCTTATGCATTGTTTTCTTTCTCATTCAAATGTTCTTCAGTACAACAGAATGACTGTTGATGTTTCACTTTGGTCAGTATTTTCATAGCCAGTCTTCTTTCTCTTCTTCTCTTTCTGGTAGCACTAGAAATACTGATATGGTCCTGAGGCTGATATGCAAGGAACTAGGGGAATTGAATTCTCTGTGTCACGCAGTCATTTAAGTGTATCGTTTTGTGTTTCGTTGAAACTGATTTGGAGCAATACTTCATCGAGGAGGACATGTTAGCGAAGAATACATATATATTATATATTTCACTTGACTCCACTTCAGGCTTTCTTAGAATATTCACAGCTGATAACACAATGACGGCTATTTGTGATTTAATGATAAGTGATAAGTGTCAGGATTCACCCAGTTGATAACAACAAAAGTCAAGACGACAATAATAATGTCGATGAAAGCAGAACAAATAGACAGACGTAGGTGATATTTAGTGCAAGGAAGACAGCCTTATAATGTGCGTACTTCATTCTTCAGTGGATTAGGGCAATCTCTTTCAAAAATTAGCAGTTGATTGATTGATAGAAAAAAATGAATTCGATAAATAATGAGAGTTTGTATGAACACAATAAACAGGTGAAGGCGGTGGAAAGTTGTAATATGGTATGAATTCTTCAAGATTATTCTCTTCAACCACGAGTAAACAATAGAATGAGCTTAACGTCGACACACTGACTAAAGCTGTTCTCCTGTTTTCCATGACTCCAGCTGTGTGTAAACTTCATGTTGGAAAAGTTATAATAGAAAATGATGAGCATTAGTGGGAACGCTTTTTCTCTTCACTTGATCACATCTATTAATCAAAGGAGACAGAACACAGATTCTTATTCATTCTTCGAATGTCTGGGCTACGACGAATTTTGTTATTACACCTAATAACTTGACTGACAACAAATGGCGAAGATAGTTGATGTGAAAGAGGGCGTCTGTAACCTTATTCCAACACTCACCATCAAGGTGGGCTGCACCACAGAGTCGTCTTAATTACCTTCCTGATCGCACCGCGCATCTGATTGACTGATTCAATTCGACACATTTAGGATTAAACGGCTCTACTGTGTGTCATCTGACCGACAATTGTACCACTTATTGAAGTTTTTGGTTCCACTACAATTTTCACGTGGTATTGGTATTGTATATCTCAAATGTCTGTCGGTGATTCCTGTTTTTATCATGGTAATATCGAGCATGGCTGCGTATGTTGAAGTGTTTTGTCAAGTCTTAGTTTGTAGCGACTGGATTGGTTGGAAGTTTGTTGACTAGCTGTCATCATTTGTACCGCTGCTGGGAAACGAGAGAGTAGTGTGAATGTTTCGTCCTGGTTCGTCATTCGTGAGCAGATGTTATCAACCACTCCATCAGAGATGGATCCTGGGACCTTATGGTTTTGGGGTTGGCTATTATAGTATCAAATCACTGGAAGTCTGTCCAATGGCCTTTGGATTCTAACTCCTACTGATTCGCGAGATATCTTGCAACCATCACCAGTGAAAGTCATATTCGGGCAACAGTTCTATTACCTGAATGGTGGACTCCGCTGGTTCTCGTATGCGGTATAATTCTACTCATGGCACATATTTCACATTGATTTCTCTGCGGTACTGCGATCAAAACATTTTATGGGTTAGTCATAATAAATTTATTAAAATGTGTATGAAAGGCACACTGGAATGTTATACAGATTAGCAGTCATGATTAATAGTTTATAGAAGAAAGACTTTCAAAAATTAAAATAGAATTTCATGATAGACATGTTAACGGTGTCATGTGCATTTCTACAGTTGTGTACAGACATGTAAATCATAGTAAACCGGTGAACAATGTAGGCTACTGAATCAACCACAAACGGAGATTTCTTTGACATAAAATGAGTTTTTATTCACAGCTCATTGGTTGTTTGTATTAGCAGGCTGACTCCTCTGTATCTTGACCAATCATACTCAAAGAGATGCTACACAAAAAAGGGTCACTATTTGGATAGGGAAGTGTACTCTAATGTGACAGATACAATTTTACCGAAAAATATGTTCAAAAGTAACAGCATAGTACTGAGAAGGTGTCGTCCATCTAAACTAGGAAGTAAAACTGAACAAAATTTTGGTGAGAATAAATGAGATAGGTTGTTGAGTTTATATCATTCATTCCATTGTGTTCCGAATCGAATGTAAGCCTTCAAACTTGCGCTTTCAAGTTTCAGTAGCAATGGTGTTGTTTCTGTGTTGTCCAATACTCCCTGGTTTTCAGTGATCACTTTAACTGATGTTGATTCATGATTGAATGCAACCACTAGAATTCATTTGAATCCATACAAATCATATAATCAAATTAAAGCTTTACATTTCACATCATCATTTTGTTGACAAATACATAAATGTATTTCGCTTCAAAATCTGCATAATAAATCACGTTTGTCTCGCGTATGTCATGCGTATTTGGTTGATTGATAACAAACTTCGTGTTATTTACTGAAAAAAAATTATTCAATTGATAAAACAAAATAATAAAGTTGTGCAATACTGTACTATTCCTTTGTAGATAACTTATCATAAATATATTACTGGAACGTGATTTGAAAAAAACGTAAATTTATTTATGTCGACCAGTTAATCTTCGTACTTAACCCGCGTACACTTGGATCATTTATAGACAAGTCTTTGAATTGAACAATTAACAACGCAAACAGCAACAATTGCTATGCTAATGATAATAGGAGGAAGAAGAAGAAATATTTATTTATTTAAACGCATAAAAACTTGGTGTAATATGGCACCAAGAAGGATGCACCACACAATAATAATGAAACAACATAGATCAAAAGAAAAAATTAAATAAAAAAATATATGTAAGTAGAGAACGGATAAAGAACTTCATCTGGAAGGAAAACAGTCATGCTCAACAAGTTCAAACAGTATTCGTTAACTATCATTGGAAAGGGAAGAAAGAAGGAATTTGCAACACGTGTAATAGCACGCGATAAGTTTCCTTGATTATTTGTTGCTTTATTCAATTCATTGTGTGATGGCTGAGATACTGCCCGGGCGCCCAGACCGAAGTAGGTGGTTTTATTAAAGGACCACCTACCGAGCCTTTGACTTGGAGTCTAATCCGCAAGGTAGCGGAGCAGCATCAGGAGCTGCATTCCCATGGTTTCCGGTGACCCATATGGGTTCATACGCCATTTGATCTGATTGGATACTGGAGCCCATGTACCCCATGGTAACTGCCTTTAGTTTAACCGCTATCCAAACAACCCTCCTGACATAGTAGGACCTGCAGGGACAGAGTCCCAGTCAGTTTAGCATGCTGGGTCATTACGGTATTCAAGCCTGACCACCACGACAAGGTAGCAGTTATCGGCCGGGAAGAAGAAGAAATACGAAAGCACTATTCAAATACAGACAAATAATAGTAATAACGCACATCTGATTGACAGATTCTATTCGACACATTTAGGATTAGACGGCTCTACTGAGTGTCATCTGATGAACATTTGTATCAATCATTGAAGTTTTTGATTCCTGTAAAATTTTCACGTGGTATTAGTATTCTTATTTTTCATTTTTTTATTTTTATTTTTGATTACAGCTTGATTCCACACCGTGTTTTGGTACAAGTATGGAATTTTCAGCGTGGATATCGGTAGCCCAAAATTCACAGGCCGACCATGGATATCAAGTGTGCGTCGGCGTGGGCTCGAACCCCGGACCATGTGCATGGTCGGCGAGAGTCCTAACCACTGTGCCACCGTCTGTAAGTGATTCCTGTTTATCACAGTAATATCGAATGTGTATGTGCGCCTGATTTAACTATCCGTTACTATTTTGCTTCAAGATCCTGGAGAAAGAGAAACTACTAGGCAATAAATTGCACTGAGAATTCTGTACATTACATGAACACTGTTGAAAATAAATTTGTTAATATTATTGTCAGCCTCCAAATTTATACAAACGATATTTGATTTCCCAACTAGTTACTGCATTGAGAACAAATAAGCATACTTTCACAAGGAAAGGCCTATATATATATACCTGAAGACTGCTGACACTCTTTTTAGATTGAACTTATGATGAAATCACCCCAGATGTGTGATTTCAATGTGATATAGGCTCAGTTAGTTTCGGTAATTCCATCTTCATGAAGCCATTCTTGCAATAAACTAGCATGAGAATGGAATCCTTGCCTTTGATAAACAATAGACAAATTTTGAACTGCATTATGGACAATAGATCTAAAATTGCGAAAAAAAAAACAAAAGTAAATACGATCAGTTCTATTTCACTGATCAACAGCATTCCCATTATAATGAAACGAATGCAATGTGAAATGTATGCCAAAAATAAAGATGATAAAAACAAACATTTTACACAACTTACCAGAAATAGTCACGACTTAGAAGGGGAAAACATATCCTTATAATTAAGCTTTTGTAATATTCAACGGTAAAGGAGGAGAACTGTATAACCGTAGAAGACAAGAGACTTGGTAAATGAGTGCTTATGTGGAATTGATTGGTGTCTCTATATAGAGAAATTGTGTACATCTAATCTTATCTCCCTCCCAATTACCATTTACACACATCTTCCATGTTGTGTTAATTCTATCCTTCGTATTATGTTATTTTGTTTTGCCGCAACAATGAATCATTTGCTCTCTTTTAATTTCAAATCTATCTCCCTGCTGTTCGATATTTTTATTTCATACATTTATTCCCCTTAATGAATTTGAACAAAGCAAGAACTACAATTTTAGCAGAATAAAATGGTACCTTCTTTTATTTCGTTGCCTTCTAGTCAGCTATATATATTCATGATATATGATATATTCATGTCAAACCTTGAAAGAACAAAGTTGAACCATGTAGTCGACGAAACATCTTCCTACTGTCGTTATGTTGATGACACATTTATAGTGTGCAAAAATGAAAGTCATGCTTCACACTTACTAAGATCATTCAATGGTGCACACGCCAATATTGTGTTCACTATGGAACATGAAAGTGACGAAAAGTTTCACTTCCTCGACATAGCCATGGAACGCCTAGAAGACGGTAGTCTTCAAAAGTCAATTTATCGAAAGCACACATGGAAAGGACAATACTTGCATTTTAATAGCTTTTGTCCAAATAGCTTTAAACGTGGTCTAGTTAAGACCCTGTACTATAGAGTGGGAAGAATATGCTCTGTAGAGAAACTAGAGGAGGAGCTTGAGTTCCTTGAAAAGATACTGAAGAGCAATAGGTACCCTCAAAGGTTCATAAACAAGTATGGAATATCTGAAGTCACAAATGTAGAACAAATCACAGTGGGAAAAAAGCCAGTCTACGTTCAGCTTGATTATAAAGGTGAAAACATCATCGCGATGATCAACAGAAGGCTGAGTACATCACTAGCCATAGCCTATCCTGCAGCTAGGCTCGTTCGCGTCTATCGAAAAACTTGCTCTTTGGTGCAATCAAAAATCGACAGATATCCTTCTCATGTTAACTCCAACTGCATATACAAATTTACATGTATCTTCAGGAGCAGTTACATTGGAAAGACAGAAAGAAGGACATGTCTACGATTTTCTGAACATGTACTAAAAAGCTTACGTCTAAAGGGAACAAATGCTCTAAACAGTGCCATCGCCAGGCATCTTCTCGACACGGGTCATGAGGTGGACGTCGTTCAGAATTATCAATAGGCAAAAGGGCTCAATTCTGCTTAAGTTTGCTGAAGCCATTTCCATCGAGCGCCTGAAACCTGATTTATGCGTCCAGAAAGAAGCGGTTATCAGTCCTTCTTTGCCTTGGTAGCTGGATATTTTCACCTCTCTTTCTTCCGAATGCAAAATGCTAAAAGTTTCCATTGTGTATGATTATTATTGTTCGGAATAGTGTTTAATATTGCGTATTTATATATGAATATATTTTTAGTGTATGCGTATATTGATAGATTGATTTTTGTTTAAAATGAACTCTGTGCAAGTATGTCAAAATTGTTGTAATAGATATATTTAATAACGTCTTTGCCATGTAAGCAGCTGACGAGAAGGCAACGAAATAAAAGATGGTACCATTTTATTCTGCTAAAACTGTAGTTCTTGCTTTGATATTTTTATGCTGATGAACATCCCTTCATATACTACTGACAAATGTTATCAGTAGCACACACCACAGAATTACCAGCTAAACTGCACCATCGTAGCACAGTTCATATCTAAATAATCTTTATCAAAATCTTGAAAAACGTCTTGAAAATATTTCTTATGGCAGCCTTGAAAGATCACTAAAATTAGATCAGCCATAAATTTGTTACCTTTGTTATTCAAAAAACAAATTTAGCACGATATAGGCATCAAGAGATGTGCCATACAACATTGATCAAACAAAAATATGTAAAGAAAAGAGAGAAGGAATGAATGAGGGACGCAAGAGAAAACATTTGTCAAGACCCTTTAACGACATTCATCAGTTCACATTACTTTCACAGAAAGGGAAGAAAGAAGGAAGGTGCAGCACGTTTGCGATTGATTACGATTCCTGACCATATATCTAAGAACGTTTAGAGCCATCAATTCGAACTATCTCTCAGACCATAAGCAAGGGGTCGTTATGCACCAAATGAAGCTAAGCTAACACATGTATTCTTTATCCCGTGACACTGTCATAGGCTGACCACCTTTCCTTTTTTTTCATCAAGTCCCAGGGCTAACGAACAGAGATGGGTAGGGAAGTCCCTAGGATGATGTTCATAGCACATGTCCAAGACACCAAGTCCGGTGTTTTAAGATGACAACATTCAATGAATGGTAATCTTCAATGTGTCCAAAAACACGCTGCCGGACCTCAGAATTACTCACATGATGATATCGTCGGACACTAGCAATTCTACGGCGAAAGTGATGGTGGAATACATGGAGTCGCCGCACATCTTTAGCTCGGACAGGCAAAGTTTAACAGGCGTAGAGCACGACTGCACACACCGGAGCGTTGTTAACCCGATCTTTGACAGATACACTGACGTTGCGACAACGTGGGAGGTGGTTCAAATTGGTGTATGCCACTGTAGTTTTCATCATACGGATAGAGATCTTCTCCACTACAATTACACCAGCACAAACTTATCGACAACACCAAGAAGTTTGCCTGAGAGGGTAAGTGGAAATACAGGCTCCAGCCATTCTTGTAACGGTACTTTTTACTTAGCGAAAATCACATAGCATACTTACAGACACTGATCGCCAATTGATTAAGTGAGATTTAGACTGCCTTCATGTTACTAACCACTAATTACAGACAAAGTATCTTACTGATACACTGCAAGCATATGGTGGATAGCGGTTCGTCCAGATATTCAGCCCACGAAATTTATAGTTTTTTTAGAAACACTATTTCGTAATTTTAATTTCTTTCTAAGTATCCGTCCACACAAAAAAGATAAAATGGTTGTCTATTAAGGAAATGAAAAAGATTACAACTTACAGTTCTATTTTTGCTTCTGACGCCCATGTAACAAGTGAAAACTGTGGATTGATAGAATCAGTATCTTTAACATATTGCTCCACGATAACCCATAAAGGTTCGACTACTTGTTGCCCAGATGAATTCATTCGGCTAGGTGGTTTTGTTGAATCACCATTACACGGTGAAACACTTCCTGTGTCTACTTCACGATCACTGATACTAAGTTGGGATAAAGAATGAATTGCGATAGGATCTTGGTCAACACTTTCTGAATGTGATAAGCTGTTGTTCTCTTGGTGGTTTCTTTGTTGCTGTAATGACGAGTGGTTATATTGATCTGGTGTTAAAACTGCTTTCAGTAGAGATTCAGCTTCTGTTATATTTTCAAGTTTCAAAAGAACAGAAGCCTATTAACGCCCAAGAAAGAGATATAGGAAGAGGTGGGGGCGGGGGGAGAAAAATCGTTGGGTAAGTAAATTTGTACTAAAATCAGTAACACATAAGAACAATATGGGAACTTAGAAATTATAATTCTTGAAAATAAAATATGTTTAGAATTACAAACATTTGTTTTTCTCTTGAAAGTTGTAAAACTTAGTCATACAGTTCAGGATACATTAACAAAAGAGATGATCATTAGAGCAATCAGTGAAGATATCACTCATTTATTTTACTCTGAATTATCGATAAAGCCGGAGTTCCTATACAGCTAATAAAAGACTTTATTAAATACTTCAGTAGTACGCATCCGACAGGCCTAAAGCCAGAAACTTCTGTTACAAGGTGAGCTCGGAGACTGTTCAGCCACTGGGACCCAATCTAATGGTTTGTGAATTTCAACTTTCACCAATTCACAATATATAGTATTATGAGACGAACAAAGGGCTTTAAGAGTACATCTGCATTCTATTCACATAATCACACTTATGTTACCCGTCGACGGCCAACATGTTACTTACAATTCGAGCCCAACTTAGATGATTTGTCTGGCGTGGGACATCACTAGAACACAACCCCCCCAACGAAAGTTTAATAAATCTTAGTTTTCTTCTGCATATTTGTTGTATAGTAGATTATTAGTTGGTCCGCTATCACATTTCTTTGATACTTATCAGTTATGGTTATCTGGATATTTAGCATCGAGCTGCTGATGGAAGTTTGAAGCCTGTTGATAAAGTCTTCGTTGGCACACTAAGTTCCCGAAGCATTTAGAGAGATTTAGAAACAAACTCTAGTCTTGCAACTTGTACTACGAATACCACATTCAGATTAATGTTACTGAATGACGTTCTTATTTGAGTCCCAGTTAAGTGGGAGAGATGATTCATTTCAGATTTCTCTCGTTGACTGATCTTCGTTGTTGTCGGTCGGATATCTATATCACTCTGTCTGCCGTATGTTCACATTGGGTCCCATCTTGCTTTCGTCTTCTACCAAGTTTTTTTGGTTTTCGCTTGCAAATATTCAGATATCTGGGGAATGAAACATAATCCAGCTCTTCTGGGGTGTGTTTGGGTTCCAACGTATGGCCGCCTTCTCGCTCCCCATGGTTTGTGGCACGATCCAGTCCATGAAAGTCAAGAATACCATTGGTAAAAGCAGGCATTGTTGTTTTGTTCTTAGTCTCACTTCGAATGCTTCGCTGAGTTTTCTGTATGCAGAGCGATCACATAGATCTTGACTGAGGTTCATGAATGTTTGCGTTACCGTACTCCGTATTGTTGAAGTTATCGAAGGCCTTCTCAAATCTAACAGTGAAACATCCACGATCATAAATATCAAAGCTACGAGGAAAACAAATTCAATTGTATCTGAACTGACCATAATTTTTATGTATACTTATATACTCATCACCGGATCATAACGATTCGGGATTTCATAAATGTGCAGTTAGAAAAAAGTAACTGCGATGCGGTCAAACTAATGAAGCCTGGGAAGGCAGCAGGACCGGATGGTATTCCTTGAGAAGCACTCACAACGGATCCGAAGACCGTAGCGGACGTGCTCACACCAATATTGCTAAGTGTTTAGAAGTAAATAAAGATACCTACTGACTGTAAGAAAGGTTACACGGAGAAACTACCAGAGAATGGCTACTGAGACTTCTGCAAGAACTGGGATGGGATCGTGCTCTTGTCCATGACAAGCGAATATTAAGTCACGACATATTGGATGGACTAAAGGATGCACTAAATGTAGAACGGCACCCAAAACAAGCTGATTAAGAAAAAACAAATTATGTACGGAGCGAATTGCAACTGTATGGTATCATCATCGAAAAAAGCATAGAATGACAGTGAAGTCCCTACCTTAACCTTCTAGACTCTGAAAATTGTTTCAACAGAATTGACCGCAAAGTAATTTGGAAACTCCTCCAACACTAGGGAGTGCAGAGTCTCGAAACTTTATCAACCTAATTCAACAGTTATAGGATGGTTGTGCCACATATCAAGTGATCTACAATGGAAAACTCAGCAACGCCTCTGAAGTAAAGGCGGCAGAAAAACAAGGCTGTACTGTCACTGACGATATTCCTGATTGTGGTGGACTGCATTATGCGGGAGACTGTGAAAAGTTAGACAGCAAGAACACGCTAGACAGATAAGAAGACTCTAGGAAATCTGGATTTCGCAGATGGTTTATGTCTAGTGTCATACATACCGGAAGGCTTTAGGCAAAAAGCAACAAGTTGATAGAAGAGGCAGACGGCGAAGATAAGACTTCAAGTGAACATAGAAAAGACGGAGGTGATGACGGCAACCAACCAGAGGCAAACCAAGAAGTATCAGTCACTATCAACGGGAGAAATTTAAGCGAGGTCACTTCTTTCACTTATCTAGGAAGCATCGTTTCAACTACAGACAATCGGCACGCAACAGGATGTAGAAACCAGAATCGGGAAAGCAAGACAAACCTTCATCACTGTGAACTAAGTTTGGAAATCTTCTGTTCTCACTCAGTATGAACAGCACAATACGAATTTTCAACACCAATCTTAAGTCAGTCATTTTCTTCTATATGGGTCAGAAACTTGGCGCGTCACAAACCAGGTTGCTGACTTTTATCAACAGCATCCTTCAATCCATATTTAAGATCAAATGGCCAGAAAGAATTAGCAACAAGAAACTCTATGGATGAACCAATCAAGAACCTAATGCTCAAGGAATATGTAGAAGAAAATGAAGATGGATTGGACACACTCTGAGGAGACCATCGGGTGACATATCGCACACCGGCCCCTTGGGTGGGACCTGAATATGGAATGACAAGCTGTGACATGAAGGAGATTATTACAGGAGGAGATGAAGGCTTATGGTTAGTCGTTAGCCTAGGTGAGGAGGACTGCAGAGAACAGGACAAAGTGGAGATGTCCAGTTGACAACTTGTGCTCCACCTGAAACTCAAGGAAATAATAATAATATAGGGAAAAGTACTGCAAATAACTGCCCATAATAATATTAACCAACTATGTTCACTTGTACAAGCGGAGGAGAAATATGGGTAAAATACGAATTTATAATTCCATTGAGAAAAATCCCTTAATTCATGATTACTACCACTTCTCTCTACACATGAACAACAGAGCCAACAATAGCAGTCAATAAACCTTCATGTTGATGAAAAAGTGAACTAATTTATACGAGTACAGCTGCAAAAAGCAAATCCGAAATTTGCAATCTATGCAGTTTGACGACATGGTTTTAAATGTCGCCAGTTCGCCCGAGTAGCTAGCGAGAAATCGCGTTGTTTCAACTGATTCAACTCTCTGACCTAACTCAAATCATCAGGTATACCACTGATGAACTTGATTCTAAACGGGAGAAACAGCCGTCTGGTGTTTAGATCATGTAATTGTAGCTAGCAAACAAGGGTTGATGCAATTTGTGTACAACTAACCATCTCAATCAATCAATCAATAGTATATAAAATAATTGCACACCAAACTTGTTGACATAAATGCTGCTTTATGAGAAGGGACAAAATAACTATCGGTCGGAAAATAACACAACACTTTTAAAAAGACGGTCAATGTGAATTTCTCCCGAAAGAAATCCGAAACGATAATCCAAACTATAGATTTAACCACACGTAGAGTGACGCGTAAAGTCCAAAATACAGGATATCCTGAAATACGGTACTTTATTACATAAAAATAGATATATAATATACAAACGTCAAAATGTGAGGTGTCTGTGGCTAAATGCCGTCAAATGCACAACCACTGTGCAGTCAATAAGTAAAAACAGCAATGCTGTGTCAAGGTCGATCAACGCGTCGGTTCAAACGGCCCGCGAATGCCAAGCAAAGAATAAACAAATATGAACAAACAACTTTCAATAGTAAAGCATACACTATAGGGTAAATGCAGCAAATAATGTTTAAGGAGAAGAAAAATAAGAACTATACATTAATAGAATGATAATAGAACAAGTAATTTAACTGCAGTTGTAAGCAAATGTCATCGTTATAAATTAACATATTAAAATCATACTACTTACTAATGGCAAGTAGTCTAATGTTGAACAAAGGAAAGATTGAGAATGAACAAGTAGGAAAGGAATTAACAGTCAATATATACTTAAAATACATACACATAGTTTATTGCTACAAATTATGTAAAAGACAGACATACCAAATCATTTTTAGCTTTGCGTATTACCGGGGATGGCGGTTCGTGTTGTTTTGAATATATTTGTAAAGCACGCCGATATGCAGTTACCACCTATTATATGAGAGTTACATAAAGCAAAGAATAATTATCATTTGTAGTTACGAACACAGTAGTGTCTTAACGGCCTGGGATGGGATAACAGGCGTAAAATCAATTTTTAGTAGATACTTCGAATAGAATCGGCACAATTCAGTGCATGACGTCTAAGTGACTTGGTATTAGGATATATGTGATTCCGTCAGTGACAGTGCTTTCCCGAGCCATTTAGGATATTCATGATTATTGACACAGTCGTCGAAAAAATTAATTTTCGCGTTCACTACAACAAGCTTGACAAAGTACCGAAGCGACTCTTCGCTGAACTACATGTTTTATATTCATTAATCTATGGATGGGGATTATTCATGAATTAAAAGATAGAGGGAGAGAGGAAATCTCGACAATCAAGGAACTCAGTGGGTTTCTTCTGAAAGAAACCTACATCCCAAATGGATACCCACCAAGATCCATCAACAAGAATGTCAAACCTAAGGTCAAGAGGAACGAAACATCACTTGTTTCAAAAAAGATACTTTACATGAATCTGGATTTCAAGGGAGACTTAGCCTGCGATATCCTCAAGAGAACAATTTCAGCATCTTTGAGGAAAAGAGCACTCTTCGCAGCAACGCTAAGAGCAGTGTTCTCCAGTCACCCATTGATCTGCACTTCTACGTGCATATATCAGTCACCTGTTGCTGTTAAGCCAGGTAAATCGGTCGTTCGACGCATAGCCTGTCCAAAACGGTTCGACAACACTATCCCTCATGGTTGAAAAAAAGGTAATAGTGGCTGTGTAAAGAGTATGATTATCGAATATCTCGTCAGCACGGGGCATTCCATCTCAACAAACACCTCCTTCAAAGTGATCTACAACAAAGTGGAGAACAACCTACCAAAGGCAATACGCTTTTGGTTTCCTTTGTATTGCTGAAGTCTTAGGCATTCAGTTGGAGAAACCAGAGTTATGTAAACAAAAGAAAATAATCCACCCACTTCTACTATTGTGGTAAAAACCTTGTTGACTCCTACTGACTCAATGTTTGTGTGCTTGCTTTTTCCAACTCTTTGTGACATTTTTAATTTTTAAACTAATTTTTTTTTAAACTATTCATCTTATTATGCAACTGTATTATGCTTACTCAACTTCTTTTATATGCTAAAAAATGTTTTTTTCTGACAACACATCACCAGTAACTTTTTATCAATATTCGCCCACCCCCAGTTAAAGTTTGATTAGTCACCACATTTTTGAAATGTCTTGGCAACAATAACTCTAACTTATTTTTCTTCTTATCGGACAAACCTGATGTACACACAAACACACATACAAAAATAAGTATGAATAATTGCAATTGTGCAGCTAGTGAATGAATTCGCCGAAAAGAGACTCTTCGCTAAACTATGTGTTTGATTTTCAAAGTCGTATTTCATACATTTGATTCCCTTGATAAATTTCGATAAAGAAAGGAAGACGAAATTAGCAGTATAAAATGATATCATTCTATTTCACAGGTTCTCATCAGCTGCAGACTACCTGAAGTCGTATTTATTTTGTTGACAAAGAATTCATAAAAGCAATTAAATACTGGCAACTTTGTTCTAGAAGATATATTAGATAATTTGGAGTGAAATCTAGAAGAGAATGACGAAGTGGAGATTAAAAAATATAGAAGTTGGAATTACGTACGGATTAAGTGTTAAAAGTAGTGACCTAAAAAACCTAAATGGATAAAAGCTAGTGAAAATAAGGCAAAGTGTTGATATGAAATCTGTACACAGCGTAACTAATTCAACACTAATGACGATTATTATGATTATTTATCCTTTAGTTCCTAGAGGAACATAGGGCTTCAGCCGCCCAAGTCTCCATTGCGTTTGGTTCTCTGCCAACGTTTTTACCTGGCTCCACGTCTGCCCATATGCTTTCATCGCCTCTTCACATGACCTCCTCCTCCATGTCACCCTCGAAATGACGACCAACTCGCCACTTCCCATTCGGGTTCCATTCGAGCAATGGCCTGGTGTGTGATGTCACTCACTTGATGGTTTTCTCAGAGTATGGCCAATTCACCTCCATTTCTTCCTGCATATTTGTTGCACAACTGGTTACTGGTTTGTCCGCTCCTAGAGATCCCTGATGGTGATCTTTTCTGGCCATCTGATCTTGAGTATTGAGCGAAAACAGCTCTTGATGAAGGTCTGTAGTTTGTTCGAAGTACCCTTCGTGACACGCCAAGTCTCTAATCCACGTAGTGAGTAGCACCGACTTCACATTGGAGTTGAAAATCTACATTTTATTTTTCATATTGAGTGCTGTTGACTTCCCCACAAACTTGAGAGTAATGAAAGCTTACCTCGCTTTGATATCTTCGTCAGTTCCGCCTGTAGTTGAAATGATGCTTCCAAGGTAGGTTAAGTAGGTTGCTTCTTCCAGATTCCTCCTATTTGTCTGTTGTTGTTGCTGTTGGGCAAGAATCTTCATCACCTCTATTTTATCTATGTTCACTTGAAGTTCTATCTTTGATGCTTCTTCTAGCAACGTGTTGCTTGACACTTGCATATATTCCAGTTTGTGGGAAATCAGACAAATATCATTGGCGAAGTCCAGATAATTAACGATAATTATTTTATTTATTTTTTATTTATTTTTGATTACAGCTTGATTCCACACTGTATTTTTAGTACAAGTATGGAATTTTCAGCATGGATATCGGCAGCTCAAATTTTGCAGGGCGACCATAGAATATCAGGTGTGCATCGGCAGGGGATAGAACTTCGGACCATATGCATGGTCAGCGAGAGTCCTAACCACTGTGTCGCCGATGCATCATAATAATAAACTAAAAGCATCACACAGTAATATGAAGCAAAATGACATGGTTGTTATTCTGGTCATGAAAATGCGTGTGGGCGTATGTAATGCTACTGAAAGCATAGGTCCACCCTCAAATCCTGAATATCCAGTAATTTGGTGTATGCATACGAAGTCATTTTGTATGATATTGGGGAAATCTGTGTATCACTGTGAAGCAAGCACGCAGGAGTGCCAGATGCACAAAGTTGACAATATGCTTGAGGTTATTGGTGTTTGCCATCCTTCACTGGTTAGCCAATCTGGATAGTATTTTGAAATACGTTCACGGCATCGATGCTGCGTATAATCGTTATTATTATTGTTGTTTATTAATAACATTACATTCATCATATTTTTCAATGGGAAGGGAGATAAGAAGCATCTGTATATAAATAACATGATGCATCCAATTCTAGTCAAGACACTATTTGTCACTACAGAGTGCTACTAAGCTGTCGATTCGTCCAACTTGACTAGAATATGCCCTCAGTTGATTATTTGAATTTATCTCACACACTGAGGTAGACACAAATATCAGACTGAGAAAAACGACACCAATAAGCAGAACCTTTACTAGACAAAATAAACGGTAGAAATATCATATCTGCTAAAACCTCAGAAAATTAGGCTATAAGTAGTAGACAAATCAAAACTCTCCAATAGGGTTATCATATTGGTACGTGCGTAAAATCATGGGTTCACGGCTAACACAGAAGCTTGTCCGTTCTAACCAGAAGGTAATAAAAAGAGAGGCAAAAAATTTAAAAAATAATCCATGGTGTGAATAATTCTTATGTATACAGAGTGTAGTTTTGCCAACAACTGTTTTTTGGCAGTCACGTCGACTTTATTCCAGATAGACACTAGTAATGAATAATGTCAAATGCATGTTTCAATAGAGAAACAATACAGGATAGAAATTTCCTGCAGTTCTAGTGAGAAGTCGTGACCAGTGAGGTCCATCCAGCCACGTGTGAGGATGGATATCCCACCGACGACATTGGTTGGGGTCACGCTAGATCACGAATTGGTAGAAGTTAGAATTCATGAGCCAGTGAATCGGGTCCCATCGGCTGAAGGGTATACCAGGTTGCTTTGTAACCGGAAGGTACTGGGTTCGAACCCCCCAAAAACAGGATGAAACAGCTGCCCAGTACTCTCTGGTTTTCAATGGTTCTCTAAGTGATATCAATCCGTCATCAACTTGTAAAAAGAAACAATAATCAGAAAATGTGTGTGCAACTTACGTCTTCGAATTTGCCTTGATTTTGACAAAGCACAATCAAATTGCTCAACTCATTTGTAATACTCAAATGATCTGCACCGAATAACTGTAGTGAAAAGTCAAACCGACAAGTATTAATGATATTAAATCTTATATAAATATACATTTATTTCCACGTGTCTACAGATAACACGTGTAAACAATAACACACAATAGCCTTAAAATGATTTCACATAACAAGTTAGCTCATCACAGTATTTCCATTTTGAAATCATTGGAATGTCGTTTGAGAAATACGCGTGCAATAACATAACTCGATATTGTGAAGAAATTCTATCATAAGATAACATCCTACCCACATAATTTATAAATAAAATTCAAGAGTTAGTTTGTAGGGATTTCATTTATTTCAAGTTTGACCATGGATTGACATTAGTTAGAGAGCTATTCAAAAGTAGGGGACTACAGGACAGCTGCTTCATCCTATTTTGTAACTCATGGGGTCACAGTGGATGAATGATCTGCAAGCTTACCTTTTAACCACAAGGTCCTGGGTCCGAACCTCGGTGGGTGCGTACTGATGATGAATCCCAAAGCGGGGCGAAACAGCTGTCCAGTACTCCCAGGTTGTCAATGATCTTTCTGACTAATATTGCCTTATGACGAAATCTAACAACTAAAATTAAATAACACAACAGGCAGACTGATGTGCAATTAAAATATGAATGTACATAAAGTGAACTTTTTGTCACTGAGCGAATGTAATCATACCTTCCTTCGCATATAAGTGAGAGTGATGTCTGTCTGTTATCGACATAGAACTTTGCACAAATGTGCGGAAGTTCAAGTCGCCACACTCCATGTAGCACACAAAGTAAGAGGAGAAAGTAGAAGAAATGCATAATAGAGACAGTAAACAGAGGTGTGAGACAAAGGAAGAGTAATAACGAAGAACAAAACAGTTTCATTGGAAATCATAAGTCACAAGGAGTGGATGCATCTGCGCCAGCCATTGAGAACGATTTTGAGCCATATCACCAGTAGTTTCCAACCATTGGTTTTTACCGTCCCGAAGACCCCAATCAGCCAGGAAGTCTACACCTTCCTATGTGGCTTAGACTAACTGTTGTAGATTTCATTGACTGATGCCATGTTTTGGTTTGACATCCGCTAGCTTTCTTCCAGCCTGACCCTATATCCGCTAACATTGCTCGTCGAGGAAGGCGATGACTAGGCACACGTAACACATGAGTGAGAGTGATACCTATTATTATGAGTGTAGTTACATGTGAAGAATGCTGTTGTTGTCCAACCAGATATATAAACATCTAACTTATTTCTAAGAGTTTGATCAAAAGGTATGAATGAACAACACTGGATGGAACAAGGTGCAGTGCACATTTCCACTGTGTATAAGATTTATTTTGATAAAGTCACACAGTGTTATATTGTAATATTTACTGATGACGTTTCGAGAACAATTTACTGCTCATTATCATACCAATTTACTTACACAACCTCCCTACTTCGTTTATAAGGTTCCACTATTTCTCATCTCTTGATTTGATTGGTAGTAATATTTTCCATATTTCTGGTATGAATCATGACTCATTCCTATTGCATGTGTAGGCTGTAGATTCTATGAACAATGATTTGGTAATCAACCTCTCTCTCCACCTATCTAGATTACTTTTTAGAATTTTAACCCTCTCCTACCATATTGCGTGGTTGTGTGTTAATGCATGCAATGCTATTGTTTACTTTTTTTCTAAATTAATTATCTTCACAGGGTCAATCATTCTAACCTAAGTTCTTATGTTCTGACAATCTGACTACTCACCATATACTCATTTGACCTATGTAGCTAACCTCACAGTCATTACAAGGTATTTTGTAAATTATATTATTTTATCTAATTGGCTCAACAGGGTCCTTTGACCTACAGAGCTTGTCCTTGAGTGAGTTTGTAGGTTTACATGCCACTCTACTATTGTATAAGACTTTGTGACTATCAAAATAAATTTTATACATAATGGAATTATACTCTACCACAGTGCCCAAGTTTTATCCTTAAATCAGTAATGCACTGCACACTGTTTTTCGCTTAACTTCGCTTCAGTTTATTGGTTCCGTATTTCATTGCAATTATACGATAGAGTTCCAAAGCGCATTGTCGCGAAGTTTTTTTCAGAGAAATGATAACATACACTTTCATTAGAACTCTTATATGAATGTTACCGTAGTTAAAAATAAAAATAAATGACGAAATCTAATACGTCTTTTTACCATCAACAATGCTTTTGTAAAGAAGTAGGTACAATTTGAAGGAGAATTATACCCACTTTGACCCAATACTCGACGACCTTTTTGGAGTGTGACATCACTTGGACATCTTATAAGTGTATTTTCAGTTCATCTCTATTCTCGTATTTGTTGGGTAACGGGTGCTCCATTGATTCGCTATTCTGCCAGAATCCCCTGTTGCTTATCCTAACCGACCGACCATCTGATCATCAGTATCGAAAGGCAGATGTTGATGAGATGTGGCCCATCGGGTTAAGTATTCGGTTTTCAGGCAATGAGAAACAGATTGTGGTCCCGCTGCACCTAATTCAGCCTGGATAGTACCATCCAGTCCTTATACAACAAGTCTGGTTACTAGCCTGGGTAATGAGGCTTAGGGATGTTGACGAAAGTATTAAGTAGTTTGTTAGAAACGCTTTCTCTGACACGTGCGCCGAAAATTTAAACCATTAAGAAACACTGACGTGAGGTCGCTGCAAACGATCCGGATCTTGCACTTTGAGTTAAGTACTATGGTTCTTAATACCGAATTCTGAGTAAAGAACACCTGTCTTGATTTCTCTAAACGATACCGACTGACTTTGATATTTTCATCCGTGCCACTTGTTGTTGAAATGTTCATATCAGGTGATTGGAACAGACGACTCCCTTTGGTGACACAATAAAACCGCTACTTATATAGCTAATACATTTCCGTCAAATAATGAAACAGTATAATGTAGACTGAGATGATTCTCAACCGTTATTCAGTGGGCCACAAGAGTTTAAACTCTCATATGAGCATTTCTGTAGTTGCTGAGCTGACTGTGACGTAATCACCGTACTTAAAAATCTACTTCATATGAATCTCAGATACCAAGACCAGAAGTTACTTATGCAACATCAATGTACAGAAAAAAGAATAATAAAAGACTGGGTGAAGAGGTAGTCGACTTTTGGATAGTAGCACTGATTTGTTTGACAGTCTGATGAAAAGGATGAAATTATAGTGAGATGAAAACAAGAATATATAACTAAGATAATTCATTGTCAAATCTTGTAAGTCTGAGGTTTTTCCATTTTTCGCACATAAAGTTTATCATGAAGAGGGTATGTGAAGCGGAGCGATAACATACTGGGAAAAGTGATTCAAGCAGTAAACTGTACGATCAGTGGACTCAGTAAGAGTCAATGACAGTTTCGCGATCAAATTGAATACAGCAACACGAAAGGCAACCAACTAAAACAATATATATTTATTAAAAAAAGAAGGTAGCAATATAAATAGCAAGTTCACAACCTCTACACAATGGAATTCGTCGGCAAATTTTAATACTGTCATTAATTTTATGTTAGTTGATTGACATCAATAGTAAAAAAAAATTGGAGGAGATTAAAAACAATTAGGCAACAAAAATAAAAGGTACCTACTGGCTTGAAGGAATGTTACCAAAGAATAGAGACTAAACCATTACAAAGCTGGCGAAAAATCAAACTCCTTTCCACCCCAAGCAAGATATTAAGTCGCGTCATCCTAAAGAAACTAAACTAAATAAAACTAAAAGATGTTCTGGACGCAGAATGCAATGCGAAACAAGCTACATTCAGGAAAAGTAAAACATTTGCGAATTAAATTGCAACACCACGCATCATCATCGAATGGTAGTCAACTCTCCACCTCAGCCTTAGCTATTTTGAAAAAAACCTTCAACAGCGCTGAATGCGAAGTCATTTGGAAACTATCTTCGTTCAACACTGGAGATCAGACAGCCAGCCAGATAGGATGAACAACAAGGATTCTGGCAGGAAACCAACCAAGAACCAATAGCTCAACAAATTTGCCGAAGAATATGGAGATGGATCGGACATACGCTGAGAAGACCGTTGAGTAACATCGCGCACCAAGCGGTCGAGTGGAATCTGAATGGAAAATGACGAGTTAGGCGTCCGAGAATGAAAAGGAGAAGATTGGGTGAAGAGAAGATCAGATCTTTTGGGCAATTGCAGAGCCAGTTAGAGACAACTGCGAAAAACAGGAAGTAACTGGTATGTGGTGTTGAAGCCATATGTTCCTTTCGGAACCTAAAGGAAAAATAATAATAATTATAATGATTTAAAAGTGATTTTTGATTCGAGTATGCAATTTATTCATTTAGGCATCTCAAGATATTATTTACAACTGTCTTATTCGTATTTCCATGCTAATCAGAAAAAGGACGACCAGTCTATCGATGGAATATATATATATATATATATATATATATATATATATATATATATATATATATATATATATATATATATATATATATATATATATATATATATTCAAGATGGATTCTGCAGCCACCAGTGGGGTTCACATCAGGTATATCTCACTCCCAATAGTTGAGTGAGTGGACCAAGAAGAACAAGAGTAACATAAATTGAAATTGCATCTTCAGTAACTTCAAAAATCCCGGTATGTTTTCTAGAATACTCATTAAATCACTTTATTCGTCTGACTCTCTCTTCAACTTTGTGAATAGGAAAAGATGGGCAACATTTAAAAAGGTTGAAGCTACCCAAGTTGATGTCTTTCCTCTCAAAAATACAACGAAAAACATTCTGATTTCTTCAACAAAAATTCTATTTTGGTTAACGTGCATGAAAAAACACACAAAATAAAGCATAATAACGTTAACAAATCTAAACGGAATGCTTACATTTTCACGTATACCAAGCGCACGTCGACATAATGATTCAGCCTCAGCGTACTGACCAAGTTGGGCGTGTAAAATAGCCAAATTATTTAGACTAGATGCTATCTGTTATAAAAATCACGCAAAGTAAAGTACATAAAAGCTATATATATATATATATATATATATATATATATATATATATATATATATATATGTTTATAACACTCAATCCGTCAACCATTCGACCTCGAGTGATGACTGTTGAAACAGAATTGTTGACTAAGCATTCAATTAGGCGAATTTCTCTCAGTGAAGTAAAAAAAGTATACAAGTGCCATGATAAGTTGTTTCGCAAACCAATAATGCCACCAGTGATGCAAACTGAGGCAGCAATCCCACTTTTTTAGTTATAGCTTGATTCCACACCGCAGTTTTGGTACAAGTATGGAATTTTCAGCATGTGATATCGGTAGCCCAAATTTTGCAGACCGATCATTGATATCAACGCGGGATTGAACCCCTGACCATGTGCATGGTCGGAGAGAGTACTAACCACTGTGCCACCGAAGCACCTCAGCACTAAACTACTCACATTTTTTAAACAGTTTTAACGTTGAAGACAATTTCCAAAAATAAATTAATATATTCAGTAGTCAGTTATGTGATTCAGCAACAAATTTAAAAATAATCAAGTATGCCACAGTGCGTGCGATAGTGGTTTAGTGGTAGAATAATACTCATCAACCACGCTTCCGCGTGCTCCAGGCCTCAACTCACGGCCAACGCACTTCTAGGCCTCGCTTAGTCGGTAGTAAGCCCCGTGGAGAGGGAAGGCTTAACGTGAGGCTAGCAACCTCCACCTCATAAAAGTAAACACTACTGCTGCTACTGAAACTTTAAAGCTCAAGACTTGAAGCTCTATATTGCACTCGTAATGCAAAAGAATAAAATTAAAATAATTAAAAATAAAGTATGCCACAATTAACCAAATCAATATACGAAAATTTGAGTTCAAAGGTGATCTAGCTTCCAATGTAATACACAGATGAATTTCAAACTCAAGAAGAAAGTGTTATTTTCAGCAGCGTCTAATACATTATCCACAAGTCGACCACTATTTATGAACATAAAGGATATGTGATTTCACTTAACTGTTTCTTTGTGTATACTGTTTGAACTTTTAAGTGGAGCTAGTTATAGTGGTTATTGCGAGATGGCCCTATCTGATTGGGGCTGAGGAGAGACGAGAATATTTTTGAAATCGTTTTGATAACTGAACCTCCCCAGGACACTGAAAATCCAATCTCACTAAACAACTCTTTCCTCAAAAATGTTCACAATGTGAAAAAAGCAACCTGCAATCACAGTCTGGCTCGATTGCATTGCTAACGCTTTAGTCACCGAAATTGAGAAACCCCATCTTTGATTCCACAAGAAACCAGTTAAGCTTCACATGCTTTCATTATCTTAAACGTTTAGGGAGTGAGAAACATCCCTCGACTTCTCTCAACTTACATATTTCGTAGGAAATACCAATAATTTCCTATCCTCAAGTACATTTTAATAATAATAATTCCAGCGTTAAATATTCACCTTTGATGAGATCTCACTATGCTTTGGTTATTTAAAAAAAAAATTTAATTCCTTTATACTCCGGGTCAAATACAGGGCTCCAAAGCTTCAGTCTTGGAGCCTCAGTAGCAGAGGTGTTCATTTTCACGACTTAAGATTGCTAACCTTACGCCAAACCTTCCCTTTTCACCTCGCTTATTACTCACTGAGCAACGTTTGGGAGTGCATCGATCGGGAATTGAACCCCAGACCACATGCCTGGTTGGCGAACATCCTACCACTGAACCATCGACGCAAAAAATTAGTCATCAGATATTTAAATCAGTTTAACACATACAAGAAGTGCAGATGAAGTCGTGAAGTTTGGTAATGAACCATGATTAACTAAATACTACGATTTGAACAACAAGAAAATCTTTTATACTTGTACTGAGCTATAAATCCATTTTTAGATATAGGAATTAGTGTTTTCAAAACAAAATACCTTGTAACTTAATGCCTATAACTCTCAAATTTTATATAAGATTTAAAATTAAATGCAATAGGTTAATTAATCAATATGAACTGTTTACTTTCAATCTGATAGATATAGAAGCTGTGCAATTGCAGATAACTTAATAATGAATACTTTATAAAAACGTACCAATATATGATTTGGCCCCAAAGTCTTCTCCCACATACACATCGCCTGATTAAGGAGATCACAGGCATCATCGTATTTACCTTGTTCCCTGTTTGAGAAAATGTTAAGTAAAAGTCAATCTTAAGATAGTGAAAGTAAAAAGAGCCCGAAATAGGACTAAGTAGCTGTCCAGCAAACCCTAGTTTCTCAAAGGCTCTATATCTGATGTCAGCTCGTGATCAAACCTGTATCCGATTAAGTCCATGCGAACCAACACTTGATGAGAAAGTATGCACAGTTAGTTTCTAATGCATTTATTCAATGCTACTTATCAGTTTTCCATGTTTCTGTGTTATACTAATACATGAAATTGATGGCTGTATAAACTTAGCATTTTACCCAATCGGAAAAATACGGGGAAAATCGAGTTAAAAAGAGAGAAAATGGGACATTTCACTGGGTGAAAGAGGAAAAAAAAAGAGGAACGCTAAGATCTTCCCTTTTTTCCCAGACGTGTGCGGTAATAATATAATATATTTTTCGTATGAATTCATGCGACCAATTCACCTTCCCCTACCCCCCTGTTGAATAATGTTTTCGTTGTATTCTTATTTACTGTCACACCTCTGGTCAAATAGATCAATCACATCATATGTAATTCGCAGACAAGTCTGTAGCCGTTACACTACGTAATCTGTGTGAAACCTACTCTTTGCCGATTGGTTGGTTTCAATATACTCATCACCGTCTACAAGATCCTAAATGGCCAGGCCCACCCAAATAAAAGCATCCTGCCATTAAGCGATTATAGGCTTCCACGAGGTAACCCGCTAAGGATAGCACACCAGAGACCAAAGACTCGAGTGCGATCACATTTCTTTTCGCTTCGTGTTTGCCGTCTCTGGAACGCTTTACCGGCGGCTGTGACTACAGCGCCATCTGTGGAGATTTTTAAGCGGAAGCTAGACAATCATGCAGAAATGCAAGGTTTGTGTCTCAACGGCTTATCCTCATAAAATTTGAAACCAAACTGTCAATGAATAAGCGTACTAACTAAATCTCCACGACCTATTCTGCCTTCTCTCACTCTATCTTTTCCTTATGTCACCTTTATTATTCCACTTATCTCAACCTATATTATCTACACTACAACCTATTATCATTATTATTATTACTATTCTGCTTTTATGACTACACCGAATGACCAAGGGGAGTTAGGTCAAACTCCATTCACGGCAGCAATACAGTCCTAACATACTGCATACTACAAACCACATCTCGACCAATCCCCGCACCACTCCTCCTGGAGTCTACCAGAGCTAAGGCAGTCGAGTGTCGGGACTTACTACGCAGAAGCTCACCGAAGATCTGGAACCTCTACCTCACAATCAAGAAGCGAGCTCAAAGAAATCACTGGTTTATACTAGCTCGTCATCAGGATATTGGATATTGGATGTACAGGTGGAGTACTATTTTCCAGTATTAACCGCAGCAGTTAAGCATGCAGTGCTAATTTTCAGCACTAAAGGCATTATTTCAGATGATGATCTTATTTTTAAGATTTTGTTGCATTAATTAAGCACCCAGCTTTTTTTAAGCACGACCAGCGTTATTTCAGAACATAGTGGGTAGATAAAATGGCCATTTACCATAAAAAAGCATTATCACAGAATAGGTTAGAATAAGTTTAGAATTGCTGTAAGATTGTACAGTACTGTACAATGTGCGGTGTCTTTATGTCTTTTTATTACTTAAAAAAGGGGGACTTCCCCTTTTTTAAGTCACAATTTCACCCTATTACCCCATGCTTTCCCCTAATCAATTGATGTGATGTGAAAGATAAGCCTATAATAAGTTAATCATTTCCTAACCAGCTGATTACTTGAATTATGTTCTCCAATAGTTTATAAAGATGCAATACAAAATAACACCCAATACACACAACTTACCGATAAATCTCCGCTAAAATACAAAGAAAAGTAGCAATCTGTGGCTGATTACGATTACTAGACTTTTCCAAGTTTCGAATATATTGTAAGCAAAGAGATGCTGCAGTGTCATATTCCCCCACACTCTTCTCTATCTTAACCTTACGATATAATACATTAAGTTCGAGCTGAGGATTTTGAAGTTCACATATGCTGCGCAAAGCACTGCAAACACGACCGAGTGATAATGAAACCGTGTGGTAACCGTAACTACCTGGCGAACGGACAAATGACCTTGACAAGGACAACTTCGACCAATCAGAAGGCTAAAAAACGGCGCATTATGGTAATAAGTCGTTTAAATATGAATAATGCAATGTTAAAAAATAGTTATAAAGGACGACGTTCTCGTACATGTGGCAACTATAAAGAAGGCAATGGATAAAGGCGCACACGACCTTATGGAGAGGCTGAACACTTCAAGGTCATGCATGCATATTGTGATTGGTAGATTTTACTTTGCGTAAACGCTGCGGCTAATACGCAGCACACGTTACTGAGGCGGGCTTTGCAATGTTAGTAATAAAAGTCGCATAAACATTACATTTTTTTCAGCTTAAGGAGACTAGTTAACGCATGTATAGATTTTACAGTTGTGATATGCATGTGGACCCACTAAAAAAGTGAATATTACTGGGTAACGTAATCAAAGAAGCATAAAGTTGGAATATTTAGTCTTTTCCAGTTTATTGTAACGAATAGAGAGGAGAGGCATTTGTGTAATATATGCATTTTGCAGAAGACAAACTGTGAAAGATAAATCGGAAGTTCTAGGATTCTTCAAGTTTATTATGGGATATATGGACTATTCTTACCGATTCCACTATTGTTCTCTCCCTTGTTCACATATTCATTGTTGCTAAGATTAGGAATCGTTCACCTGAGGTAAGATTAATTCACCTGATATGTATATATCCTTAGATATTTCTCAGTGTGGCCGGAGGTGGTCAAAGGAATACATTCTCAATCTTTGCATGGAAAGATCATAACCAGTTTCTTCTGAAGGATCAGGTGGTGCTGAAAGGTGTAAAGACGGGTCCAGTGTCACAATCACCTGAAGGAAACTGATCCACATATTGTGGATAAAACGATTAGTGGACTTTAATTTGACTATGATGTAGCCATAGAGAACTACAACTGAGATTTTTTCCATTGAATTCTTATAAACCCTTTTTAATGTGAATATGTACTGTTCGACTGTTGTTCTTTTGTAAATATATGCATTTATGTCGAATACCTGTATCTCTCTTATTTATAATTTCGAGGACATTGCATAGTTAATGAAGTTGACAGGCAACGTAGTAATACTTGTGTGAAATGCGTGATAATCGTAAACCGTTATTATTTCCTCAGTGAATCATCAATCCTCCCATGAAATGTTTCAGTTCCATTCAATCCCGCTGCGTAAAAGATTATCTTTCATCAGGGCTTGCGAAAAAATATACGTTGAGCTTAGGTTTGTTTTGCGATTACTACGTACACATAATAACAAATGTAGGACGGCTACGTATACGTAGCCTGTTATATTTCTGAATTAAATCTCAGTAATTCTGAAATAATTCTAGCATCCTATAGTGAGTAAATTCTGAATTTGTTCTGAAATGAATTGTTTAATGGCACAGACTAAAACTCAGTGCTAGTTTTCAGCATAACTAGCGCTAATTCAGAACCGTGTTCTTCTTTTAAGCATAGTTAGGAGTAGATCAGAACCTACCGTATTTGCTTATCAGCTTTATTTCAGCCCTTTCAGAACATTTTCAGCACTGACTAGCACTAGTTTAGAACGAAAAGACTAAATTCAGCACATAGTGGCAATTTTTCAGCCTAATTCAAGCCTTCGCAGATCATTTTCAGCACTGACTCGCATTACTTTAGAACGAAAAGACTTCTACTTAGTATCATCACCTGTGTCCTACGCCGGCGAAATTCATTTAGTTTGCAGAAGAAATCAGTTTTTTTAATTGAGACTTTTGTATTTATAAACTGTAGTACAATGTCATTGCAATCCCGTCAAGTGCGATCCACTGGCAGTATCCTGCAAATAAGCGAAATAAAATATTAGTGGGTGAAAAATTGTGCTCAGAACATTCTGAGCATTTGCATTTAAAGAAGTTTACTTACATAAGCGCCACTGTTATATTCCCCGGTATCTTTTTCATCTGCCTAAAAATGAAAACAATGTTGTGATTACTACATTTTGAACCCTTACTGATTAATAAAATGATAATAATAACGGTCTGTATCCAGTGTGGCTTACTCTAGCACCTGCATATCACCTCTCTTCCTACTATAACGCACGCAGATCACAATCACGATGGATGAAGAAAGAAGGCAAAGACGGCGGGGAAGAGACGTTTATTTCAAGCAAGCAAGACTTGAATAGCCCGGGTACAAGCTAGTTCTCATCATTTATAACAAGTTTAGCTAACCGATCTTCCTCTTGCTCTAGTGATGCCACATCAACGTTTCTTTCTGAAAAAGAAGAAAAAGAAACTTATTTAGTGGCATTATATTTGTTTCTACTGCATTACATCGCCTCCTCCCCTCTGGAAGCACTATCCTCAGTGCCCGGTGGTGGTGTAGGGTATGCAATGCCTCCATTGGGCGGCACCTCGACGTAGCTGGTTGCGGGTGGCGGTTGCGCGGGTGGAGACGGTTCCGTGACGGCTGCTGGGTGATGTGGTTTCAGTTGACTGTAATAATAATAATAATGTATATTCTCATATAAACATATAAATTAAAATGAAAATGCATGCCATTTTTACAGGCACGATCAAGTATGATATAGTCTCAAATCGTAGATTGTCTACAAGTTAATAATGTTTCGGCAGTTAAATATTTGATATATATATAAATACACTAATTGACTGAACTAGGCAGTATAGTTATTGAATTGTACAATTGTCCTCCAGGTTCAGCGGGACAATCTACTTCGTTTCGTTTTCATCCCGTGGTTGTCGGCATACGATAACCAACTTCTACAAAGGATTCAAAGCTGTTTTAGAAAAGTAGAAGTGCTAAGGTGAATCAATAAAGTGTAATGAAATGGGTAAGTGCAAGTATCACTAATAAATGCATTAATAAAGGAAACTCCCTAGGCTGACAACGTTCATTTGCAATGTATAATGCTTCCTGTACAGTTTGCACTATCATGATGTCCACTTTTGGTTTTAATACATTTTTTCCTCATGCCGGTTTTTTTTATTTCATACCTTTTTGTGCATTATAATGTGCTGTGACTAGCTTCTCTTGAGGGCGTTGCAGATGCCGCAGGAAATACGTAGTAGGGGGTCGATGCCGGACGATCTCATAGGGTCCTTGCCAGGGAGCGTAGAATTTGGGGCAGGAACCGGCCGGAACGGATGGTCGATGAAGCCAGACGTAATCGCCAAGCGAGTATGTGGGGCCGCGGGCAAATCGGTCGTAAATAGTCTTCTGGTGGTCGGACGAGGACTGTAGATGACGACGCGCCAGGTTGTAGGCGACCTCTAGGTGGTGGCGAAGATGTCAGACATAGGGAATGCAGTCGATTTTCTCGTATGGTAACAGCGGAGTTTGAATCTCGACTGGAAGGAGGAGATCATGTCCGAATAATAGCAGGGCTGGGGAAAAACCCGTAGATGAATGCATAGAAGAGCGGTATGCTAGCAAACACTGGGGCAGGACATCATCCCAGGTATTCTCTGGTGCGTTGCATAAGAAGGCACGGATGAGGTTCTTAATAGTTCTGTTGGTACGTTCGACGAGTCCATTACCCTGTGGGTGGTAAGGCGTAGTATGGGTCTTCCGGATGCCAAAGGTATTGCAGATGTGAGCAACAAGATGACTCTCGAATGCAGCGCCCTGGTCAGAGTGTAGATAAAGAGGGGCACCAAAACGAGACACCCAATTGTCTATGAACGCGCGGCCAATCGTCAAGGCATCTTGTTGTCGCAAGGGGACGGCTTCGCACCACTTTATGAAGTAATCGACCATGACAAGTATGTATCGATTGCCGCGTCTCGACGTTGTTATTGGCCCCATTACGTCTACCCCAACTCGGTGATTAGGAGCCTCGGTAAGCATCGGTACTAACGGTGCTCGGGGGGATGCTTTGGGCTGTTTAATCTGCGCACACGTAGCACAGTTGCGGCAAAATTCAGTCACGTCGTGGTGAAGAAGTGGCCACCAAAAGCGTTGACGGACGGCGTGCTCGGTTCTTCGTTGGCCAGCGTGACCCAGCTGCTGGTGTACAAGACGTATTACCTCCGGGACTTTCAAACGTGGCACGAGAAGTCGAGGCGATGATGGCGGTTCGACTATGTACAAAACGTTATCAATCATGCGTAGTATCCCCCACTTACCGCAGATGCATTTGGTTGCATCAGACAGACTCTGTAGTTCTTTATTCGACGGTTTATCGTTCCCGTGAAGCTGTCGGGAGTAGACAGGTTGAATATCGGCGTCAGACGCCTGCAGTGCTGCCCAGTCAACATCTAGACCTGTTTTTAATATAGCATTCACCGGGGAAACATCAGACGGCAGACGGGAAAGGGCGTCAGCGTTAGCGTGGCGGGGTCCAGGGTGGTACTCACAGGTAAAATCAAACTCCTGCAACCGTTCCTGCCAGCGAGCAACCTGGCCTTCGGGTTTGCGAAAGGTTTGCAGCCACTGCAGAGCACGATGGTCAGTGCGTGCTCGAAATGGGCGCCCAAGAAGATAATGACGGAAGTATTTGAGAAAGTGAACGAGAGCCAGCATCTCTCGGCGTGTCGTGGAGTACCGGGTTTCACGTTTGTCAAGCTTACGGCTGGTATATGCAATAACGCGTTCTCGATCATCGGGTGCCACTTGGGAGAGAACGGCACCAATGGCAGTGGCACTTGCATCAGTATCTAAAATGAAGGAGCCAGCCGATGGAGACGTGTCAGGAAATGCGAGGATAGGTGATGACGTGAGGCGTTTCTTCAACTCGTTGAAGGCATCTTGACACTCACTAGTCCATAAAAATTTTCGACCCTGTTCCGTTAAGCGATGTAGGGGTGATGCTAGGGTGGCGAACGCGGGGACGAAGCGACGATAGTACGACGCAAAACCCAAGAGGCTGCGAACGTCTTTACTACACTTAGGTACAGCCCAGTCGGAGATGAGACGAGTTTTAGCTGGATCTGTCTGGATGCCATCTGGGGAAATGTGGTGACCCAAGAAAATAACTTCTCGCTGAAGAAAGGTACACTTAGACGATTTCAACTTTAAGCCCGCCGTGCGTAAGCGTTTAAAGACCGTACGTAGGTTATCTAGGTGTTCTTCTGGGGATTTTCCGTGTACAACGATGTCATCAAGATATATTAAACATTGTTGAGGAACTAACCTATCCAGGACAACTTGCATCAGCCGTTGAAAAGTGGCGGGGGCATTACACAAACCAAAGGGCA